CACAATCGTGTAAAGAGCGTCATTTCTCTTATGTACAAAGGATTCATTATTGTTTATTACTGAATGTCTTTTTGATTGAATTAATGTTTATGTGTGCAAAATGAGCAATACATTTCTTTAAGAATATGTAGAATATTAAAACACACGAGGAGACGAGACGGCTTTGTTTTCGTTGTTTACAAAACCAGTGACTGACTGATTCTACATATAAAACTGAAGAAAATAAGATCCTGGTTGTAGCTGCAGTAAAATTAATATGGTTGTTTTAAGTAATGTTATTTAATGTTAATAAATGGAACAATAGAAGTAGCTAACGATAATGGTAAAGAAAAAAGAGAGATCGCGTATGTAAGTGCGCACATGTGAAAACATATTGTCATTACTCTACATAAGAATATGAAAGCAACACTTATTTACCGTTCATATATATTTTAATTAATGTTTCTGAATTTTGTTTTTATTGAATTAATGTTTGTGTGTGCAAAATGAAAAATACAATTCATTAATAATATGTGGAATATAAAAACACACGAGGAGACGAGACGGCTGCCGGCATTGTTTTCGTTAATGCTTACAAAACCAGTGACTGATTGGTTCTACATATAAAACTGAAGAAAATAAGACCCTGATTGTAGCTGTAGTAAAATTAATGTAAAAAAGTTAATATGGTTGTTTGAAGTAATGTTATTTAATGTTAATAAATGGAACAATATAAGTAGCTAACCATTAATGGTAAAAAAAAAAGTGAGACTGCACGTATGTAAGTGTGCACATGTGAAAACATATCGTCATTACTCTACATAAGAATATGAAAGCAACACTTATTTACTGCTCATGTATATTGAAGGGTTAAATGCTGTACTCGGTATAGACAAGCAGCCGAACTGCCGGATGTAAACAAACCTTAACTTCCCGCGGCTTTGTTGTTGTTTTTTTTAAGGGGATTAGCCCACCCGGGCATAGGTCACTGACCCACATTGGGGCCTGAGGGGCGAAAATTTAATACTCCTGTTATAATAATAATATTAATTCAAATAAGTTAATAAAAAAAAAAAAAGAAAAAAAAAGCTGCCTATCTACCAATTGGACAAACTAAGATCATTCCAGACCACGGGAGTTTCCGGACCACAGAATGCCGGACTAGAGAGGTACAACCTGTACAAAGAATAGCTCCCTCTACACTCAAACCATCCTCTGGGTGATGTGACAGTTCAGCCACGCAGCCGGGCAATCACCCAGCTGACTCACAACATGGGAGGTAGGGAGTGCAGCTGGAATGGTGAGTCAGCTACGCAGTTACAACTCATTGCCTCTATACACAAATGTTCACTTCCCACACATTGACACACATGCTCTTTAGTTTTCTTACTTTATAGTTTTATATTATATTTTCTTTATTTCTAAGTCACATTAAAGTATTGCAATGAGTTAATTTTTATTTATTTTTTCAAACGAGCACGAACAAGTGATAAACACGCTGAGCTAGCGAGAGATGCTGAGTGGGTTGGCTGGCGCAAGAGCGAGACACAAGCTTAAGGGCGGTTCAGGGGGTCTGACGCATATAAACAGGGTTACATACTATGCACACGCGTACTCCGAGACCCTTCTGTACTATATAGATACAGTTGCAGTCAAAAGTATTCATCCATCCCCTACTACTACCATACCCGCAAGCTCAAGGCCTTCCTACACAGCGGGTCAGAAGAGGGTGGGAGAGGTATTCATAAGGGGAAAGCTGGTGGTGGCAGATGCAGATAGGGCAGGAGGGTGCAAGTCAAGGGCCATATATGGAGTGAGTGTGTATGTGGTCTTAGAATTATCCTTATCACCTGATGAAGGTGTTAAAGATATTTCTGTTAACTTTGAAGGCCTTAATGACCCTGGCAGTTGATAAGCTTAAAGCCCCCAAAAACAACCAACCAGGAGGGCGGGTGTATGGGAGATGAAGGGGTGGTGTCATAAGGACTGACTTAACTTTCCCTTAGTTATCTATGCCTTTATTTGAGATTTTGGCAAGGAATGCAAGTGAGCTTTTGGCAGCTAATGTGCCATTAAGGGTGATAAGGTATCTGGCCTTTGTGAGGGAAAGCCCCTGATATGACAACCTAAAAGGGGAAGGGGCGTGGCTTTGTGTTTGGTCTTGTTCACCACCAGTAACACGAAGCTGTTACTTGATCACTTCTACCTTCTACCAATACCGTTCTTAAAAAAATCACTATTAGGTGAGAAAAAAAATTAAGAAAGAATTGTTACTTGATCACTTCCACCTCCTGCTACAGGGTATTACCATTCTTGAAAAAAATCACTAATAATTGATACAAAAAAAAAATTAAGAATAAATTATTGGATAGAATACGATTTGTCCTCCCTATAATATGTTTATTACAGTTGTGAAATCAATGCAAGGTGATTAAGTAGTAGTGGCAATGGTGTTTGGCCACTATCATCCACACCCAACCCAGGATGGATGCTTAAGAATGTCGATTGGCGAGTCGCGAACAAATTATTGGTTTACACACAGCTGGGTACAATGTGTCAGAAATTGCAGGGGAGGTTGGGGTCACCTGGCAGACCGTGAGACGTTGGTTAACCCAGTGGGAGGAGTCTGGAAACTTGGGAAACCGGCCACGGTGAGTATTTTTTATGGTTTGCTTTACTTTTTACTTTTATCCTCTTCGTCACTGATCGGCTCATTAGCCACTTGTGAAGTTGGCAGATACTGAGCATGCACTGGCTCCTGAATATATTGGAACCTGCTCCAGTGTTGGTCAAGTCTGGCCTTGATTGAGCTCACACTCAGTGCAGTCACAATGCTCTACAGCATAGCAGTGTTCCAAGGGTTAACAATTCTCACTCCAAAAAAGTTTGCCCTCACAGTTTTTTGAACTTGTGGCTTCTTCAACCTTGAGCTGTGACCCCTTGTGGGGGAGACGTCCGCCAGCTCCAGATATGTACATTCGACAGAGTAGTACACCCTGAGATGATTATGCACTTCGATTAGGTCACCCCTCACCCGTCTGTAGTATAAGCTAGGTAGTTGCAGGCGCTCCAATCTCTCTGGGTAAATGAGGTTCCGTAAACCAGGCACCAGTCTGGTGGCCCTCTTTTGGACATTTTCAATCAATTGACAGTCTCTAGCATACCTTAGGTACTAGACGGGGTGACAAGACTCCAGACAGGGAGGAACCTCACTCTTGAAAATCGAGATGAGAGACGGACCATCCAGATATCTAAACGACCTTCTTATAAGACCTACTAGTTTCGTTGCCTGATTCACCTTCTTCTCATAATGGCCCAAGAACTTAAGTTCATTGTCGACATCCACACCCAGGTCCTTTTCACATTCGGTCTCAATTAATACAGTTTCTTCGTCCTGTTGGGACATGTGATACGCCTCCTTACTATTGGTGCGACCCAGATGCATCCTTTTGCACTTCGTGACATTGAATCTTAGTAGCCATTTCTTTGACCATTCTTGAAGCTCATGGAGATCTTTCTGCAGCACTTCACAGTCTGCTCAGTTCTTAATTTCCCTAAATAGAGTGGCATTGTCAGCAAACATTTGTATATAGAAGTGTATAGCTTTTGGTATGTCATTAATGAAGCAGGCAAACAACAACAGGCCCATTTGATATACCGGTATTAAAATTACTAATTTCAGTTGTGTAATGCAAACAAAACATATTTGAACTCTTAATTTATATAAATGATATAATTTTGGCTCAGGGAAAGCACGATTGACAGGCCAGGTGAACAACGAGCAAATCATAGCAGAGGACGAACGTCACCCATTCACGAACGCAGTAGCCGCAAGGGAATGGCTCCAGCTGGGCAAGTCTGCCTACACAAGGTAAGAATTCACCACTATGTCCCAGCTCAGAAGGACAAGATACACGTGATGGCATGGCTTGTGTGCCAATGAATTATTAATAAAGATTTGTATTATTGGTCCAGTTATTTTTTAGAATGAAAAACCATTTCATCAACAAGCTACAGGGCCCATCACTGCTGGCACACCAATAACAACTCACTACAAATGTCAATATTTTCACAGAGGCCAGGAGTGGAAGAACAATGGTAAGCGTGTGGGGTTGGGTGAACCTCACCATCTTGGGGGCATTGGCAGACATAATTGGTCAGTTCACCTCTGATGTTTACCTCCACGAGCAATTGAGATTCTGTATGACCTGTATTGGTAAATAATAAAAATACTGTACCATATTTTATAGCATATAAGACGTGTATTTTCCTCCTGTAGTCATAGTTTTTTCTTAATAATATATACAGTACCAGTAAATGTAAGTAATAATTAAAAATAATAAAAATAAATAAGTTAAAAAAAAAAAATACTGTACCGCCATTTGGCTGGTGGACAACGAAACTCATGAACATTTCCACTACACAGGGGAGACAGCTCCAAACAGCTGAGATTCCCCCCCCCCCCTTCTTTTAACACATGTAGAAAGTTTACTTCCTTTAATGTTTTTGACCATTTGATAATTATTTATCGTATTTTTTCTTTTTTACATTCTGTATGCAAGATTGAGTGTGCCTGTGGTCTATCTGAAAGTACCACTTGAAAAATAACTGTAACATAGCTAGCAGCTAGCCTAGAGATGTATGGGAAGGGCTAGGGGATGTGAAAAGTCTTGTGTTGATATTACAAATCCAAAACTAATATAAAATACTGAAAAACAAGTAAATATTTAAAAAAAAAGATCGTTCCCCCTTTCCACCCAATGTAACTTGCCACACAGAAAGGACCTGGCCAGGTGCAGGGGTTAGGTGGTAGAGTGCAATGATTACCTTTGACTGTGAGTGGACATCAATACAATGTAGCCAAATACATGGAAATATTAAAAAAAAAGATCGTTCCCCCTTTCCACCCAATGTGACTTGCCACACAGAAAGGACCTGGCCAGGTGCAGGGGTTAGGTGGTAAAATGATTACCTTTGACTGTGAGTGGACATCAATACAATGTAGCCAAATACATATCTTGAAAAATCTAAAAATGACAAGCTCACCTTAATAAGACAGACACTAAGTGAAATCCATACCCTCCTTGATGAGCTGCATGATGTTAATGGCTAAACTTAGAATTTATTTACTCAAAGAGGCATTTCAGTGACATTACTGAATTAAAGGGACAATTTTTAAGTGACATTCCTATTTCTGATGACTAAAGGCTTCCTACAAATTGAAGCACCATACACGAGTCTGAAAACTCTTGTTGTGTTACTAGATGCAGGAGAGCATTTTGTTTACAACCTCATTAATTACTACTGTACATTTATAAAGCAAATATTAAGGTGGTTACAAGCTTTTGAGCAGAGATACACGTGACATCTTGCTTGTAACCATTTCCCTTAGTGGCAGGAGATAAGTAATGACTAAAATATTTTAAGTACAGTACATGGTGTTTATACATCTGCTATACTGCACTAATCAGTTCAAATCAACTTTTGGTCGTTCTTTTTCCTTCATACTTCTATGATTTTCAATTTAACACATTAATCGCCCCCAGCATCTTTGTTACTTGGGTGGATAATGCTGTACAGTATATTTATTGCAGGAAATCTGAGGAGTGATAACCACTGGCAATAACAATGTTTCAGTCAACCAAATCAATTTACACAAGACTAACACAACCCAAGTTAGGGAATACCATACTCTTTAACCTAAGTTGGAACAAGTTAAGAATTCTGTATTGTACTTGACTCTATTGTCTGAAAATTTACTTGTAATACTCAGTTGGTCTTGTAGTTTCTTTGATCTGTAGGCTCAAGACCATAAGAGAAACATATTAACCTAGAGGAACTAATTCAAATTAATTTTTCTGATATTTTCACCAGTCATCTAGTTTCATACACTGTACAGTACTTATACTCCTTTTATTATGAACCATGCAAATACTATGTCAAATAGAAATTCCAAGAGGCACGAGTTAAATAATTACAGACCTAACATTACCAAACAATTTACTTCCGTAACAAAAAATTAAGATGGACTGTATCAGATACAAGTACGGTACTGTATATATAATCTGATAGTAAACTTATTCAAAGAAGAGATAAATGTTGCAATAAGTTATACATTTGGAACAGTTGGAAATTTCATTCTATACTTGCTTGTTCAGTACTAGTAAATTCTTGTAAAATACTCCTCTCTAGCTCAAAGCTGTATTCGTAGTTATCCCAGTTGAAGGAATTTATTTTTCCTATCATCTGTGCAACAGAGCTGATGTCAATTGATTGCACATCCTTATCTAGAAGAACATATGACGAAAGTTTAAATGGAACTCCATCAATTGCAGTCTGAATATCACAGCTTGCAGGCCTGCAAAAAAATTTATTCAGAATTAATCAATAATAAATGAACCTAAACAAAGACAACTAATGTACAGTACTGTATAACCACAATACAGTACAGGGTACTGTATTTTTATTCTGGTAAAGTATTGAAAAATTAAGGAGTGATGCACAAAACCCCATTTTCTGGCTAAAGGCCGAGCTGAGTGATCCGTGAGAGTCCAGGTTCCTAAACATTCATGACAGAACCCACCAATAATGTGGGGAATGGCAGGTCATTAGCAGGAAATTTTATTAGCATAGTATGTAAAGTAGCTAAAAACAACTATCTGTGCATACTTTGTGGGAAGCAATATGAGACCATGGATGATTAATTTGGGTACAGTATATGAGGGCTGTCACACATAAAATTTCGGAGAATATCGACCTCCACCTGCACAGATAGTTGTTTTAGCTACTGTACATAGTGAGCCAATAACACTGCAGCTCTTCACCCAGTTACACCAAGAACCTCACAAGGTATCCAGTGGTGTCATCATTTCCTACATCGCAAGTGAAGCTTCTTGGGCTGGAATTAAACCCTTATAAATACATAGCACCTTAAAAGGAAACCCAAGGCATAACAGAGGGCTTTCAATCTCCAGCCTTCAAGCCTATCTGCTGAAGACCCTAAACATTCGGAAACTGAAGAAATGTATGTCACTCACTCTGGCCCTAAACCATAAATTGCGGTCAACATTATTTAATGAGAGACCTTTGTAATCTTGAGCCAGTTAAAGATATGGGAGGTGTAAGTAAAGCTTTATTATGATCATTAAATGCCTCAGCAAAGGAAGTCAGACAGAGCCAGCTATGCCTTATAAATGAGAGTTTAATCTTAAATGCCAATTCAATAACATTCTTTTTCTTAACTGGATTAACCTCAAGTGACATTTTCAACATTACCTTTGTGTACTGTTTGCACTTTCTTTCCTGGGATCAATGCCATATGGTAAGAAGGCACTGGCACCCCCTACAGTGTAACCTGGTGGGGGGTCATAAATGGTGCTCTGACTGGAGGTATCATCTGAAATATTCAGATATCAATCATAAACTATTTAGTGACTGGAAAAATATAATCAATGTTACTGAAATACTACAGACTTTACCTGCTACTGAACAAATATTTAATGAATTACTGTACTGTACAAAAGTTTTATTCATCTCAAAACAATATCACTATTCATGAACAGAGCAAAAATAAATGGATGAGGGCCAACTTTTGAAGCCACATTATTTCCGTTATGGAAAAAATAAAATCTTCATAATTGTGTGTCTTTAAATCACACCATTAGGTATGAACTTGAATAAAGATCTTTACAACATAATTCACTCTGGAAGAAACATATGCTATATTTACATGATCTGCATAAACTACCTGTCATAAATAAGAAAAAATACTATATATATATATATATATATACTGTATATATATATATATATATATATATATATATATATATATATATATATATATATATATATATATATATATATATATATATATATATATATATATATATATATATATATATATATATATATGGCATTTATCTTGCAATAGTCTGTTGTTTAGGAAATTACCAAAACCAATGACTCAACATAATTGAATCACTCAGATGAGGTGGCCTGTCAAATCACAATCAGTTATATTAGCAAAAATATTGACTTTATCAAAGTCAGGTAACTTCGGCATCAGTTCTATCTGGGAATGTGATGGTTCTACATCTAAACTTTAAAGGTAGGATTTTTTCTAAATTCTGTCTGCCATATATCAGCCCAAGAAAAAAAAATTAAGGGGGTCGAAGCTTGAAACCCAATTTGTGGCTGTGAGTATGACTGACCTGAGTTTTTCACTTAGAAAAAAGCCTTCCTTGTTCCTTGCTCATGGAGGGCAGCGAAATGTTACCAGATAGTCCAACCCTTTGGCAATGGTAGAATCTTATAGGTCACTTACATTTTAGGTTATATAATATATGTAGTGAAATAATGACTCTCTTTAAGTAAAAACAAGTGTAACCAAGTTTAATCACAAACCTAAAACAATGAAGCCATCACAAGTGGCATCATCACATTTTTCTTCAATAGCTTCAATTCCTGGATCAGTGGGCGACTCCCCTATGACCGGAGACTTACGGCGACCAAACATTCGATTGAACATGTTTATTTATTCTATTACCAGGCCCTGTGAGACAAAAGTACACATACACAGTATAGTAATACATAGCAGTTATTTCAGCAAAATTATATTTCCATAAGACCCTGAGCTTAAAAATGGTAAAATAAAAAGCTACAGGGCTCTCATTAAGAATTACCAGGTACAGTAGGAGGCATGATGCATATACTGTTCAGCACTGTATATTGTTCTGTAAAATAGTAGCCACCTACAAAATCTTGTATTAAAAATCATATTTGTAAAGATCCACCCAAAATAAAATTGGTAACTCTTCCAAACCATAACTAGAAAATCTTACATGGTTACGCATGATTCTGGAAAAAACAAATAATTATGATATGGTATAGAATACAACAATGCAACCATACCTGACCTAACAATCCTTGGTTAAATTTAGTTTGCGTAAATGTTGTTATAATTAGTTTAGTTGCAGTGTACTTAAACAAGTGAGACTTCTAGCCTTACTAAGGAGATTTTAATGTCATTTTCAAAAGATTATATTCGTTGTTATGCCTTTGCCCCAGAATGGAGCCAGTGCATGCCCGGTACTTGCCAACAGTACGTAACAGACATGACCTACCACCTAAGCCAGTGGCAAAGAGGACAAAAGAAAAGTAATCTTCCATTTTTTTTTCTCTTATCCTCTTTGCTACTATCAGCTCATTAGCCACTTGAGCACATTTCTGTTATGCTCTGTCAATTCAAAATATAATTTCTATTCGTTAACATGAACAAATTATTATGGTACTTCCTTAAAACAGCACTACCACCAGAAGAGTTGTTGAATTTCGTTCATATTTTCCAAAGATGTTCTAATCATTATACAGTACAGTAATAAGTATTTTAAAAGAGGAGACTTTATTTTAATTGTTATTTTTTTGTTTTATTCTTTTCTATCTACGATAATAAATCACTTGTAGTGGGCAGGGCACGAAGGATGAGGGAAATTGGGGGGTAAAACACGGTGAAAAACTGACCATATGACACTAAAATGATGTCTCTTCATGCTTTGTACGTGAAGAAAATAATTACAGTAAACCCTTGATAACTCAGCATTTGATAACCCAGAATTTCATATAACTCAGCATGGATATGGTCTCAGAATGTTATAGTAAAACTCGGGAAATGCCGAGACATATAAAATTATCTGGGAAAATCTCAGCACATCTGGCCACCTACATCACCTACCTTGCCTCTGTGTCACCTACCATACCTCTGTGTCACCTACCATACATCTGTGTCACCTACTGTGTCACCTACCATACCTCTGTGTCACCTACCATACATCTGTGTCACCTACTGTGATCCTTCATTCTTTGCCTGCAGTGCTGGTAAGTTTTACTGTTTTACATTTAGTAATAACATCTATACATAGTGTATATGGGTCAATATTTTTTTATTGTTGTATTTTTGTACGAGGGGGGAAATGCCTCGATAAGTCGGAATTTGGGATAACTCGGCAAGGCCACAGCCCCATATATGCCGAGTTATCGAGGGTTTACTGTATTTACTGTAAATACGACTCCGAAAATCTGCTAACTCAGCATGTGCTCTCAGTGTCATCCCACTTGGACGATCGTCTGTTTTATGCTATTTGTATACTTTTTAATTACATGATCAGGTTAGGTTGGGCTAGGTTAGGTGAGGTTAAATAGCATAAAACAGACAATTGTCCAAGTGGGAATCATCCAATTGGGATGTTATCACTCTTATGTCTACAATACACATTTAATTACACCATGATGCTTCAACGAAGTTACTTTAAGTTACTTTCCTTGGTTCCAGATATGAACATGAGTACTTTCTGTTTAATATGGCGAGGGGTCAACTAGGAAGTTAGGTAAGTTAGGTTGGATTCTTTGGTTGGTTCGGTCAGATTCTAATGGGTTTTCTAAATGTCACCTCTTTCAAAATACTTTCTATAATGATAAGAACATGTGGAAAATATGAACAAAATCAAACTTCTGGTGGTAGTGCTGTTCTCAAACATCGCCTATATTTCGGGTCAATTTAGTAGTCTCGACCAGCCATGGCTTTCGAGTTGAGCAATGTGTTTTCCTAATGGTTTAAATAATTTTGAAATACTTTTCTTTTAAGACATTTTCCTCGCAAATCACGTAAACTTACCTAACCTAACCTCCTAACCGGGGTGCTGGATCTCCTGAAGGAAACATCATTGAAGCAAAGTGTCTTTAAATTTTTAAACCATCGAAAAAACACATTGCTCAACTCAAGAGCCGTGGTCAGTCAAAACTACATATTGACCAAATTTCTTACAAGTTGTTGTTTAACACGAGACCATCTTCCAGAGTATTACCATCCAACTGAAATGGTAGGTCACTCACAAACCATTAATACAAAGCATTTTCTTCTCTAGTCACAGCTTCTTCAGGTATGTAATAATTAACCGGAATTTTAAATTGTTGGTGTTCAATACTTCGCCTGGCTTTAATAAGATTAGGCAAATTAATCCAGTCTTTTAGTTCTGCCTGCTAATGAAACTTCGAGATAGTGACAGTTATCATCTTAATAACTCCCAGAAGAATGATATCACCTTTAATTGTTACGTTACCAATTCGACTTTTCAATATTGTACACTTTATGTAATGTTTAACTGACCTTAGTGTTTGATACATGACCTTAACTTGTCTCACTAACTATACTGACCTTGAAATGTTTTCTTATACTATGGTATTTATTAAAACCAGGTTATATACACAAGAATAATAAACATTAGAGCCTAAACCAGATTAAATTTACAGCTATTGTCTGTAAAATTACCCAAAAAATATGCCTGATTGACCATAAATTTGTGCAAGACTAATAAATTATTTCACAAATATATTTTTTCTCCATTAAATAACCTTCCAGTACGGGATTGAATCAAAATAAACTTATATAACTTTACTAATTAACTTATTTAACTATTGGTATGCCTAAGGTACATTTACAACTATTTACCTCGATGCCCAGCTTTGTGATGTACAGCAAGATAATAATATGCATAGATTATAGAAAATTACTAATATGTTGATTCCGATAATTGTGCCTAATAACCAGTTGGGCTTATGCTTGTTAGCTAGCCGCAGTCCCTGTTAGGCACTGTTGGCAAGTATTGGGCTAAGCGGCTAACAGGCCCATCAGTGACACAAATGATGGCAAAGTTTTAAAATATGACACTGCATTGCCGTGACGTCATGGGCCCGTGACGTACTAAGCTTATGTTACACGGGGCAGTACTGGAGAGTGGTGCAACTCAAGCTTCCTCTTCATATATCAAAACCTTATTTAGTGCACAATGTACGGTACTCTAGCCACATTATCCTTACAGGCCCTCAAATCTTTGGGGCCAAGTTTCAATGGAGTTAACAATGGTAACTTAACATTATCATTGCTCAATTCACTGGTCCTAGAGGAACGTCGGTATAGAGCAGCAACAAAATAGTGTATTGTTCAGTTGGTGCTTAATTTTTTTCAAGCCAAAAGCTTTGTTATTAGAATGAGTAAGGATAGTGTTGAGTACATCTCGCCACCATGGAACTTCTCATGGGTAGTGAAAAAGGAGATTTGTGCATCTGCTAGGCCACAAACTGAAGCTAATGTAGCTTTTCTTAGGTAAGGCAAAGCTATGGATTACTCTGTAGGTAGGTGACAGGTGTAGAAGTTTTGTTTATCTGGATTGGCTATAACTGCTTTGATTCAGCCTAATAAGTATACAACAGGGTGTCTTAAACTCACACACAAAATTAATAAGAACAATGGAGGGCTCCTACACAGGTCACTGGCCTCCTTCCTTTGGAATTTTCTGGTAAACAGTTGCTTTAAGGTACAGTGATACATTGGTAATTATTCCACAAACACTGGCAATTGCTTCAGGCATGAAAAATATGGTCTTTTTGTGTTTACACACCGCACATTCCTACCACTTATATATTATCATACCGGTACCCTATACAGTATATGTTTCAAGCTTGATATTTTTGTTATGTTCCCAATCAAAGCTGACCCATAGGCCAGGAGCATTCTCTAGTAGAGTACAGTACTATACTGTATTTTCTATGGCCATCCCAAGGAGAAGAGATCCCATAGTGATTGAGGGTACTGTGGTAAGGTAATGATAGGTGCTAACCAGTTCTTTTTAGCCAAAAGTGCCTTTATAAGTTCAAAATACGAGTTATCTTGTTTGGTGTTCAGTGTCCTAGTTTCCCTTTATGTAACTACAGTACATGTAGAACTTTTACTTGCACATAGACATCTGTACTTTACTGTACTGTACATGCTATAAAATACTTGTCAACTGACTTTTGTAGATTACCGATTTATATGTTCCTCATCTTGTATATTGCCCCCTCTTCTGTTTCTGTGCCATGTGTAAAAGGGGTTAGCTACTCAATGGTTGTTCCATTTGTTTGTTTACTTTATTCCTTGCTTACCTGGGTGATATCATGGGTACTTTATACCAATTTTGTTTGTTTTCTTTTGTATCTGCTTTCTTATCCAGGTAATATCCCAATCTCTTTTAACATAAGAAACTGAAATTTGGATACAATACTGTAGTGTCCAAGTGCTTCAGTATATTTTTACTCATTTTGTTCATGGCATGGAATGGGGAGCAGCGTACATATAAGAACATGAGAATGGAGGAAACTGCAGCGGGCCTATTGGCCCATACTGGGCAGTCCCGTTTACACCCAACCCCTATTGCTCATATAAGCATCCAACCTATGTTTGAAGCTATTCAGCGTATTCGACTTAATGATGATATTTGGTAACTTGTTCCATTCATCCACTACTCTGTTTCCAAACCAGTGTTTACCTATTTCGCGCCTAAATCTAAATTTGTCTAACTTAAAACCATTGTTACGAGTTCGCTCCTGGTTGGATAGTTTGAGTACCTTTGTAATGTCCCCTTTGTTTAGCCCTGACTTCCACTTGTACACCTCTATCAGGTCGCCCCTCGCTCTACGTCTCTCGAAGGAGTGCAAATTAAGATGCTTTAACCTGTCTCTATACTCAAGGTTCCTAATGACCAGGATTAGTCTTGTCATTCTCCTCTGAATTCTTTCCAAGGATTCTATATCCATTCTGTAACACGGTGACCAGAACTGAACTGCATAATCCAGGTGTGGTCTCACAAGCGCAAGATACAGTTTTAGGATGACCTCGCTAGTCTTGTAACTAACACTCCTTTGTATGAACCCAAGTACTTTATTCGCATTGTTACGAGCAACTTGTGTATTAATGTATTTCATTGTTTAAATTATTCCACTAGGAATGAAGGTGTTGACGTTCTTGTGACTTTGAGTGGAGAGACTATGCCCCATCATACAGCACACGAGTACTTCCAGTGTCATCTCCTTCATGTGGAGGAATTTGAAGATCCATCTATGGAACAAATAAATGAATTTATTTCCATATGTGACAAGGCTCGCGAAGAAAAAAAGGTAACAGTCGCTTTGTATTTGAATAACATACAGTAGGTGTACTGTATAGAACTTCAGAAATGTGATCTTTTGGCTAAACAAAACTTTTGTGAAAATACTGATATATTATGGATTTTTATCTATTTATTTATTTTTTTCCAAATCCCAAACTTTCACTTTTACAGATAGTATGTGTTCATTGTAGAATGGGGCGAGGACGGACAGGGGTGATGCTTGCATGCTATTTAATGAAATATTATGGACAGGCTCCTGATGAAGCTACCTGGAACGTGAGGCTTATGCGTCCATATAGCATTGAGACCTGGGAGCAAGAAAGAGCTGTTAAGAAGTTTAGAGATTTCCTTGCTTGGGGACATTTATAAAACAAATGTTTGTCAGTTGGGAGAGAAGTTGAAGGAGATTGGAAAGAGTTATGCATGCAGTCTTCTAAGTACAGTGCAGCTAATGTGTATAGATACAGGTGCAAGAAAATTTAAAGAAAAACAAAGAAAGACTGGTGGGAGGATAGGTTGGCAGTGCTCATTAAGGAGAAGCAAAGGGGCAGTGAAGTGCCTGTTTCAAGTGACATTAGAAATTAAAGGGAATGGTAAAAGAATAGACAGGTGTGTGAGGGATCCTACCAGCCTAAAGGTATTTCTCCAGTATCCTACTTACACATAATAAGTGTACACATTGTTCACTATAAGATGTCTCTGGCGTGATGCACGTGTGAGCAAAGGCTAGATGTCTGACCCAGCACATTTATATATAAATGTTACACCTTACAGGGTATCAGGTTCTATCTTGGCACCAACCAAATCCAAAGTAATATATTGTACTGCACTTAAAATTTTTGTTTAATGAGTTCAGCCCTGAGAGAACAGCCACCTGAAAGGGTTCCTTTCAGACAGTAATTGGGCCTTCACTTATCTACAGTATTAGAGGCGAGTGCCTTGGGAGATTTATCTCCCTCCTTTTTAATTGTATTCCTCATCCTGTACCTGCCTTTAGGGTGGTGAAGATTAATTTAATTCTACCATTATTTAAAATATACATAGTAAGCACAGGTAGTCCTCAATTTTGGCAAAAATGCACATTTACTGTATTTAAGTTCCAATTTCAACAATGAAATTGTTTACATATGTATGCAATCAATTATTTATAAATTTTCCTTAATTATGTATGAGTTTATAAAGACCCACAAGTACAGTACTTTGGCAAGCACACATTGTATCAAGAAACAGTGTATAATTAAACATGAGCCGAGTGAAGGAACAAGTTGACAAACCCCTGGAAGAGGAACAACATGCACATTTCTCTCATTTGTATTTCATACATGTTTGATTGCAATTCATGTACTTTTATAAATTTATAATTTCAATATATTTATTTATTTGTTTTTTTTTAGTCAGACCAAGTACAGTACCCCAATATGTCCCAGCCAGGAATGCATTCCCCTTAATTTAGTTGTGTATATTGCAAGGGTTTTCAGAAATGGAACCTTTGTGATAAATGAGGACAACCTTTGGTGTATTACTGTACTGATGATTCAGTAAATTCTTACTGGAATTTATCATTTTATGTTCTTCATTCTTTTCCAGATAATGTACACTGATGAATGGAATTTGTTGCATTAGCATTGTTAATAAATTACTACACTGTATCTATAAATAGTTTTATATGAGTAATCATGCTAAAATAATTATAGGTGTACTCCGAAAACCACTGTCCTAATAACCACCAATTCACATAACCGACGATTATGTACAGGGGAAATATCCCGCAAGTTTCGTTGCGCACCCCGTTGATCCAACGATGGGGAGGAACAAGAGAGATGTTTGGAATTTGGCGGGTGGTGGGAATTCTAGTGACGAGTGCTGTGTGCTTTTGCTGCCATTTTCCCACTTCTGCAACTGTGTTCCACCCACCTTGTACCCTGTTGTCTCCAACTTCTTATGTTACAAATTCATGCCTAAATGGACCAGCAAAGACTGGTAGGATTTCAACTTACCACCTCAACTGTCTCTACCATCTTTAAGGACAAAGCTAAGTACAAGGCAGCTGCTGGTGACTGTGTTTCTCCCTCCTCGAGCACCGTAACCAGAATAAGTGACCCCAAGCTGAAGAATATGGAAGGGTTGTTGATAGTATGGATCGAAGACAACCAGCAGAGGAACTGTCCCTTAAGCCAGGCCCTGCTCCAGAAGGTCAGGTCTCTGTGGCTTTCTGTGAAGGGGAAAGCCACCTCCTCCAATATTCCTGACTTCAGTGCCAGCCGTGGAAGGTTTGGCTGGTTTAGGAAGCAGCTTACCTGCATAACATCCAGTTAGCAGGGTAAGCTGCAAGTGCTAACGAGGTGGCTGTAAGCACATTTCCTGGTGAGCTGAGGGACAGGACCCAGCAGGGAGGATATACAGCCAAACAAATCTTTAATATTGACAAAATGGTTTAATACTGGAAGAAAATGCCCACCAGGTAAAAGTTTAGAATAGCTCTACATCTACTAATTAACTATTACTGCACATACACATAATCATGTTCATAGTTATTTTACAATTTATTTATTATTGGTAATGTCTAAGAACAGCACTACCACCAGAAGTTGTTCAATTTAATTTATATTTTCCACTATGTCCTAATACAACCTGACCTAATTGGCAAAAGAAACCCATGTAACCTTACCTGACTAATAGCCTTGGTCCAGACCACCCCCCCCCTTTCCTTTATATTAAACAGAAAGTACTTATTTTGATATCTGGTACCAATGAGAGCAACTTTGTTAATTATTATGGTGTGATTTTACGTTATTTGTGGACTTGAGCTTCGTGCATTGGTTTTAAACAAACTGCGCAGCCGAGAATATGTGCTGACTTTTCAGATTTTAAGTTAAATACAGGGATTTTAATTTCTTCAGGTACAAGGCATGTAGACACAAAATTTTTGTGTCATATCAGTTTTTTAACGTGTATTACACAATAACGTCCCACATCCTGCACGCCCTGCCCACTATGTTGGTTTCAAACAAATGGAAGAGATGATGATTGATTGTGGTAATTACATCCCTGGTGACACAACAGCTTAGGTCATATCACCAAATTAAAATAAAGGCTTAACAAACCAAAATCAAATCAAATCCAGTAACAAATAATATAGAATGTTCATAAAAAAACATTTAAACATTAAGAGATAAAACACAAAGCTTGTGTAGAAAACCAGCTTCCTCCTTGAAGGAGAAGATGTCCCCTCCCAGACTACCCACTCCCCCGCTACCACCAAAGAGAAACGGTAAGACCCCCCCAACATAATTGACTGGAAGGGAATCATTACAAATAAATGCAAACTTCATAGAAATCCTTGAGTTAATAGTAGAGGAATGTATGCCCTGAAAAATAATGAGAAGAGGGAATAAGACTGGGTGGATAAATCAAAATTTGTCATTTTTTTAAATTCAGATGAACACAATCTTACATACAGAATGTGCAAAAAATAAATTATCATAAGATCAAAAACAAAAAGCAAATATAAATTTCTTTGTGCACCAAGGAGAGTTAGCAGCAGGGTGAGGTGGAAGGGGTTATTTTATGATAAACAGAACTTTCTTCATATTTTTTTATTCGGTTACATGCCCACACACAATCCTACATTATTAAATAATGTGCAAATAAAGTAAAATAAATAATTACAGTATTATTAGATCAAAAAACAATTCTTTACGTCTCCAGCAGGGCTGGGTTGCTATGGCTGGGCTTGAGGGAGGTTACGTGTGACACAGCCAGAGTCAATGCAAATGGCAGCGTATGATACTTTCATTTAGCTTTTCCTTAATGGTTTTAGCTGCATATTTTCATCTAGATACAGTAGTATTTTAGTAATGTTTTAATGTGTTAGGTAGTAAATTACGGTAGTTGTGTACTACTTACCATTAGCTAGGTAGGTTTTTTGTTGTTCGTGAACTGATTTCATGTTTTTTGGATATTGGGGGTTTTCTTGTCATTGGGGAACAGAACCTTATTTTTCCCAAATGTTCGTTTAGTTGCTATTCGAAAATTCACTTGACAAATGTTTTTTAAGAACCTAACCTATTTGTATAGCGAGTGATACCTGTATTAATATCCAGAGTATATAAAAAAGGGATTAATATTAATATACAGTAGCCATTCACTCTATGTAAATTTTAGAGAACATACTGAAGTACAATGGACATAAACTGATATCCATTATATAGAACTTAAATTTTTTGGTAACAATGTTATATTAATATAAGTATAAAAAAGACCTAAAGCTTATGAAAATATTTCTATTCATACTATGGTGTCCTAAAGTCAGCCATGACTCTTAAGAATTTACATTTTCACAAAAAACTTTTAAAGGAAATCAAGTTCAATACTTACAAAAAATTAATTATCTTTAGGGAAATGTAGGTAAAGTATAGTATTTACTTATTATATTGAAGATGTTTCGGAAACAGAAATTACTGTATACAACAGATTAAAATGAGCTTGCAAAAAATACAATGTTGACATAATCAACGAGAAGAGGCACACCTTTAAGGTGACAATACAGCATATTTATATTTGTTATGAATCAGCCTGATTTCCCATATCACAAAAAACTCACACTCGGCTAACTTATAACATCTAAAAGTACAGTAAACCCTTTAACTAATGGGAAAATTGGTGTAGGGGCAGTTACATGAAACTTTCTTTTATATAGAAAGCTTTCTTTGCCCATTAAATTACACCCTTATTAATCATAATTTTACCTTTAACATCAATAAGCCATTAATGCTGGCATACAGTAATCATTATCATTACCATTTGATGTGCTGATTGGAACAATGTCCCAAAGGTTAAGTACCACATAAAAAAAAAAAAAATATATATATATATATAATTATTGAGAAATATGGTCTGATTCCTTGATGGTGTTATCCCATTAACTAGAAAACCCATTAGTTAAAGAGTGGTTACTGTACTGTATATTAAGGAAATCCTTTTCTAATTCAAGTTTAGAAAAAGGTTTTATATTAAAATATTCTATGTACATATTATAAATACTATAGCAAAATCTGTTAAGTTTCATAATGATTTGTTAAGAAATCTCTCTTGCAAGCTACAGGATTATTATTGTATATGGACAGGAATGAGTTTCCGAAGAAGGGGCTAAGCTCACTCTAGTTTATGTATCCAACTGAAGATCTCATGAACCTCAGAAAAATTCCTCATACACTATCAGAAATGAATGGAGAATCCTTAAGAGTAAACTAAGAGGATGACCAAATTTTAAAAAAATGAAGAAGTGTGCATTGTAGTCTATCATAATGAGAAATACCCCAGCTTGGGCTATGACTATATTGCTACTGCACAAAGGTTTGTTACATAAAAATAATAGCAAAGCTTACAAAAATATTACCATTTCAAATGAGGAGCTCCAGACCATAATCTGCTAAGTGCCAAAATAGAAAATGGAAGAAAATGCTCATGTAGGAATGTGTTACATACAATAGTCTTTTAAGAGGACTCACCCACATGTTTAGCTTCCCAATTGCCTCTCTGACTTAACCAGTGAACAGAGGAGAGGTTGGGGAATGCAATGCAATACATAACATGTTTCAGTGACATATGGCTCTTAGCAGGTTATGGTCTGGAGCTCCTCAAAAATGTGTCTGTGTGTGTATTTACTATTTTCCAGCCATAATGAATTAAACAGGAATAGACTTCTTTTGAGAGAGAAAAAAAATCACTTATGTTAGCAAAGTTGCACTATTTTATGAATTTCCACAGCAGCATTTTGAAAAGTAAGATGTAAATCAAATAAATTTTTTAGGGTGCACAAGAATGATATTCAACTCTTCCACCCATAAGATAAACAATGTACAGTACATCCTCCACACCCTATAAGTATTCATATAAATCTTGACTAAAGTCTCTGTAAAGATCTTGAGACAAGCATTACAGAAAATCAGCCGCATATCTCTGAAAAGAGTCCTCTACCTCCAGGCATAATAATTAATAAAGTCACAATGCAAGAATTCACCTTTTGTACACTTGCTCCAAATGTTTTTTTATGATTTTGTGTGAGACAATATGGCACAACAAACGAAGGATTTTGACAAACCTACTGAGACAATAGGAGTTGCAGTATGCATTTTGAAATTCATCAAACCCCTCTGCAAAGATGCTTTTTGGAGTAAGGGTACATTGTAAAGGCAGCTGCTATTGTTATTTAGCAAACTAAGTTTACAGGTCAGAATCATATTAACTGACAATAGTAGTTACCTTGGTCATTTTCTCACTATTTATAGAGCGGGTGTCTAAATTCAATACAAAATCCTAGGTTGAATTAAACACGACCTCTGGTTCATTGTATCACAAGCTAGTCACTGCTAATCTGTGTCCAAGAATAACGAAATGTTGTACAATATGATCGTCATTTAAAGCTCCTGAAAATAATGCAAAAGAAATAAATTAATAAGTAAATTCATCCTATATGCTTTAAAGTTTCTAAAACTGTACAGGTTACCCTAGAGTTATGATGTCTGATGTTACAATCATTCGTTTTAATGAAGCAGTCATACTCATACCCCATCCCCAAGTTACAATCAGTCACTCTCAGTTGAATGATCGCCCCTACAATCAACCATTACCGATCGCCAAGAGTCATGGCCGTGTTCCTATACGCACCTCTCTTGTCATATCTCAAATTGATTTATGTGTCAATTCCAAGCACCAACCGTTACTATTCCTTTTCAACATTTGTCACTTTGTTTTATGCCAGTTTGAGAATGTGAAATATTCGTTGAGTGCTCGGTGTTCCACAATTACATGTACAAGTGACTGTTTTATGAACAAAATCAAGAGACTGATCATAACATGGAGTGGATATGTGCATTTTATTGGTAAAGTAATTTTCTTTATTTAACTTTTCAGTGTATTTCCCATTTCAGTATCTATGTTTCCAATAATGTGTCTTATTATGGGCAGAATTGTATTGCCTTGTAATGATTATCAGCTTTTACTCCACTGTGCTTGCAGCTATATACAGGTGCTCCCCGACTTACGACGGGGTTAGGGACCCAAATCCAGGTCGTAAGTCCGACAGATAAATTTTTTTTTCAAAACTTGTTTAAAAAAAAAAAAAATCAATGAAATACAGTACGTACAGTAAAAGTAATAAATAGTGTGGAATGGATACAGTGTGACTGAGCACTTACCTTTAATGTAGTCAGCTGAATGCACACAGGGCCCCCATAATTTTCTAATTATACATGGAGACTACATTAACCGGAAACGTTTCAGTATAGAAAATGCGTGTCTCATTTGAAAAAAAAAAAAAAAAAAATCATAATAATTGGTCACAACTGCGGCGGTCGTAAGGTCAGAGCAGGTCGTAAGTGCACGATGGACGTAAGTGCAAGCAGTCGTAAGTCGGGGACTACCTGTATATGAAAAAAAAGCCTCCAAAAATGTAACCCCATTGAACCCATTTTTCAATTTCTTTGAATTGGATGTGTGTTGGCTTCCATGACATTTTAGAGGAAATGGTGAGGCCTAGCATATGTATATTAGAATTTGGCAGAATGACTGCATCCTGAAAAATGATTGGTGGGAGATCGTCTATTTTAGAAAGTGTAATTGATAAATACTGTGTTTTATTGAATCTAATCACGTTGAGTGTATATCCTATATATTTCATAGAAAATTCTACAATAACAAATTTCTATTTAAGAATCAACCACAGCAGCAGGATGAGGGAGATTTTAAGAACCAAGGAAATATGCTTCATGTACTATAATGAAAGCTTACCATTAACAAGAATCCACTTGGTCCTATAGATTGATGCCTCTGTTGGCCATCTGGAGTTCAAATCGTTTGTTGAATCTGACACCCTTAAGGATCTTCTTCTGGCCCTCACGTATTTGTTGGCTGTAAAAAATAAATAAATAAATACAACTGCCATCTATATACATTTTTATAGACTTTAACATGACAACACAATCTTGTTACTTCTAACCTGGATTTAATATTGGGATTCCTTAGTGCCATATTCTTCAATGTAGCTCGATCAGGAAGTGGTTTCATAGCCCCTTTATAAGGAACATAACCTAGGGGCTTGTTTATAGTGGCCTTTGGGTCATAGTCAGTCCTTTTTTGTGCAGCCCCTGGACTTGATTTCTGAGAAGCAAGCAGCTTCACAGGAGCAGGAGTGATCAGAGACTGGTTTGCTGAAATGAGTTATATTTGATTAATGGTTATACAGTAAGATACACACACATACAAAGAGAGAGAGAGAGAGCTGTATGATAAGATGAAAATATGAGTACAGTGTGTTAAAGAATGATCATTTCAGCTTCTGGGAAATTACTTTAGTTACCCATTTACATGTACTGCATTTATGTTTGCTTATCATTTCATCCTTTCCTCCACTATCTTTTTGTGATGCTTTATGAACCCAGTCCACCTTACATAAACGGTAACAAAGCATAACTCACAGATGTACACTCTTCTGGCAAACACCATTCACCGACAATGTCCACATTCTTAAGGATCAGAACTCATTAGTAATCAAAGAATTTGGCAAATTCTTCATCATGCTTTGTTACATTACAATTAAGCTAATGGTGAAAACTTTCATTATTATATGAAAGTAGAAAAAAACGGCAATACATACACACAAGAAAAAAGTATACACAAGACCACATAAATTTCATAATTTACTACTTAATGTAAAACAATAAATTCTGTAATCACTTGAATGCAGATAAAGTAAGGTTTACTGTACAAGTCATGGTGACTTCCAAGCAGCTGAAAAGTTGTGTTCTGAGCTAGAAAAAATTAAAATGGGCAGGTAGAACAACTTTTTTTCACTGGTAAGGGCAGTGTGGATATAGTACACTGCATACAGTCTTTGGTAAACAAGGAATCAGTGTGACTAGCATGCACCTGACTACCTTCACTTCCCAAACTGCAAATCTAAGTAATCACTCACAACTAGATGAACTGGGGTGACTGGATGTAAACCAGTGACTCTCAAGACAGGGGTGAGTACTATATTCACTTGGTCATAGTAGCTCTCAGCATACTTTTAAGTCTTTGAGGGGTGGCAACCCCTTAAGCAAGAATGATATAACTCAATTTAAAACTCTGATATAACAATTTCATGGCAGTCCCACGATACCATTAGGGACAGTGTGGATACAGCACATTTATATACTAAACCTCTGGTATGCAAAGAGGCAGCATGGCTGGTATTACAGCTGACTGACTTCACTTCCCCATCTTGTAGAGCTAGGGATTGTACCCATTTATGGCTGGGAGTGCCCAGGATCATACCAGTGACCCCCTAGGGCCACACCAAAAGCCCCTTTTCCCTCCTGGCTACAGTTGACAATCCAAATTTTAAGGGTTGTAAGGTAAAAGGCTAAGCATTACAGTATGTACAGTAAAGAATATTTTTCTTACCAGGCTTAACATTTTCTTTAAGTTGTGGTAAGGCACCACAATGAACTGAAGAAGTAAAACGCCTTACTGATGTGACCTTTGAAGCTGTTTCAGAACCAAGCTTTGTGGAACTTTTCCTCTCTCCTGCAGTGTTTCTAAGAGATACTCTGGGTGTTTGTTGAGTATTGGATTCATTTTCAGTTTTGGTGGATCTTAGGGTTACAGATTTCTTCGCAGTTCTTGAAGATTTAGATGGTTTATTGATTGATTTGGGAGCTTCCTTTATAGTTTTCCCAAATACTTGCACTCCTTTTGGAGACCCTTTTGAAGATTTTGGAGGACTTGCTAGAGACTTATGTGTTGGCATCTCAGGTTTTTGAATACTTTTTAGCTTGGAGAAAGCTGGAGACCTTGTGGCTGAAGAAAAATAAGACAAGAAAATTATCAGTAGTTGAAATGAAAATATGGCAGTTATAATGTGGCTTACTTTAAATATTTCAGTTAGAACTGATTTTATAAACTACAGTATAAACTTTTTTCCATAAAGAATTGAGTTCCCATAATTATACAGTACTGTGTCATGCTGAAATTATATTTTAAGGATCTTTTGTTGAAACACTTATAGATGATTTATTCAGGATCATTACTGTAACACATTCATCTTTTAACACATTTAGAACAGATATTAGTTTATACGCCTTTTTTGCTGGCCGTAAATATTTTCACTTGTGGCCACAGCCTAAAATAATGTGAGCGTGATAAAAGTGTTGTACAAAGTAGAAGAGTGTTTCATATGGCATACAGTGTACACACTAGCATACAGTGTACACACTAGTATACACTGTCCACTCTGTTGTGTATAATACTGTACATGTGGTACTTTCACACTTACTGAGTGTACAGTACAGTATACTTAACTGTAAGCACTTTTTACGTCTTAACACTGCTTTAACGGTATTCTTGGCCGATTATATGCTGGTACAGTAATATACAGTACTGCACAACACAGGTTGTAATGAAAACAGCAATGGGGAAGAGAATGAGCTTGTACAATGGCAGCAGACAATGAACTAAGAGTGTCATGATGCTTGAACTTGAATAGACAGGCTGCGAGATACATCAGTCAATCATAGGTGTCCCATTCTGTTACACCCAATCGTAGCTCACAAGCACTCTGAGCCTTCTCAGCCACATGCTTGGCACATGTCGGTGCATTATGCAAACTCTCTGAAATTCATTTAAATGCCCAGAATGGAAATTTGTCATAATTTCTTGGTATGCTTAAAAATTTCCGAGTAATAGAAAGTTCTGTGGATTGAAGATTCCAGTTAACAGATAGATCACTGAAGTAATATCCCCATGAGACGGAATCCCTTTTAGCTGGAATTTAAATTTGCTCAGAATTTTTCCGGAAAATATCTCTCAATTTCGGGTTTGGGAGTGATTTTCAAAGTTGAAAATCAGACACATTTTCTGGAAAAATCAGAGAAAAATTCAAGAAACTCTCTCTGCTCTGGACCTGGGAATAAATATTCTGGGACTTCCATGAGTTTGCATCGTGCTTCAGCACACCCCCACGTGTCAGGTGCATGGGTGGACTAGCTGCTTGGGTTGCTGAGTTCATATTCTGCTGTCATTTTAGAACGTTGTTCCCTTGCTAGATGTTGTTTTTGCATACAATTTGTGTTGTGCAGTACTGTACATTACTATAAATCAACCATAAGATGAAAACCGAGACAAGAACTATTGATCTTTTGCAATGAATCCTCACTTTTGAATGAGGGTAGATCAATGGATAAGAGAAACCTAAAACAAGGGTGGAGAGAGAGATAACATATGTAGAAAACAAAAGTAAAGAGACAAAACCAGTAGCAATGCTCCTACACAGTTTATCATATCTTTATCCTACATTTACAGTTACAGCACACAATGTAAATTCTTAGCCTCAACAATGAATCTTGGCACCTCACATTAATTCACTACTCTTCAGAATCTATGAAAATTGAGTTTAGGCCGATGAATATTTATTAAGTAATTACTGTACTTAAAACTCAAAGGAAGAAAACTTACATACAAAGTTGAAATTTAAATTCTTGACACTTGTAACAGTTGGCTGGAACACTTTTTCCTGTGCAACCTAGAGGAGAAATTTTGAGAGAACCATTACTTCTACTTCAGTAAACAAGGCATACCATGACAACAAAATGTTTTTGAAAATATTAGATCATATATCATTATGACATCTAGTTATGCCTTCCAATCCAAAAGATCAAAGTACACTTTTGATCATGAAGGCGTATGCACTAAGTAGCAAGATAGTCTTCACCAGACATTAGCCAAAATTCCTTCATCTTCATAGAGGAATCACAAAAAATTCCACTCAGTAATAAGGTACACTATAATGGGGAGAAGTTTGAAAATTCTACTGTGGTGGATTTAATTGCACAAAGAAGTTTAGGAGCCATTATAAGGCACTTTAAGAGCAAAAATGTAAGAAGTTTTGCTTATACAGTATTGTAATTTGACTGCCCACTGGTAAACTCCAATAAGGTATTTTATTCAGCCTCTGATAAACTGTGGTTCAATAGGAAAAATCTTCCTTTTTGACCCATCAACTGAAATTGTGAATTATCCCGAGTATGCTCCTTGATTGTAGTATCCTGGAATAATACTTTTTAGGTGATGTGGTTGAACTTAAACTAAGGTTTTGAACCCTGACTGCCCTAGGAGGTAGATAATTAAGACTTGTTGGTATAAAAATATGATAACAGATAAATATACATTTAAATCACTACATACCGGAGGTTTCTTGGTTGAACTCCCAGTGGTATCAGTTCGCTTCCGCTTCTTATCAATATAATCATCAAGAGCTTCCATTCGGCTGAATGCTCGTTCGTGGATTTTGGCAAAGTTTGGCACTTTTAACTTACGTGCGTAGGACAGGAATCGAGGAATGTTGGAGCCATCATGTTTAGATCCTAAAAAATGAGAAGACTCTGCAATCCATCTTTTAAACCTAACATATGTTTTGAACTCAGCAACTTTTCATTTATAATTTTAAGACAGACATAATAAATACCAGTGGTGTGGAAATATTTAATGAGAACAGTTCTTTAAGCTCTGATTCTATGGGTCATTGTTAACTGAATGCAGAATATACATTCTTTAAAAGTTGAAGGCTAAATGTCCCACACAATCTAATATTCCCCTTCAATAATCAACAAGTTCTTTCTCCCTTTCACTCTATGGACAGGGAAGTATACTTTTCTTTACATGCATACATACATGCTTTACACTGTATACATACTGGAAATGATATAAATCACAAACAATGTACTGTGCTTACCCTCTTTTTTGGCATTTGGAGGATCAGCTCTCCCAACAGTAAATATTGGTTTGACAATTTTTGCACCTTGTTTGGCCTTAGTGTTGCTATGAGTAGTTACAGGGCATTTCATTCCAATCTGAGATCTCCGTGTTGATGATGGAGTAGCTGTCTTTACCAGACTTTTTTGCCGAGACATGCTGTAAGTATACCAAACAGAAATACTGTATTGTACAACAAATATATAAGGCACACTTCTAACAGTAAGAAAGTATTAAAATAGAGGTACTGTCTAGTACTTTCAGGGTGCACCAGGCCCAGGAAGGTACTACAGGTACACTAAGGTACAATCTGGTCACAAAGGTATAGCAAAGTACGTATACCTAGTTAACCAAGGTAAACCTAGATTACAGGAAAGACCCATATTCTTTGGCTTAGGTCTCAGCTATCCTTAATTTAGGGTACCAAGTCCAAACCCAATGGTTTGCACACACACACAAAGTGAGGCATAGTATAGCAGAAAACATACAGTGTAGTGCCATATATTTACCTTTGTACATTTGAGGTTTGGTGTTTTTCTTCTGTAGCTGTCTCCAAGGGTGACTTTGCCTCTGGCTTAGATGTGGCACTAACTGTTCCTATTATGGGAAAATATACATTAGATGAAAAAATAAGTGTTTATTTAGGGTAACTTCTAAAACCATAACTGATATAAATTAATGTTGTTAAGCTGTCATCAATTCCAAAACCTGCACCATCCTATTTCATCACTAATCAGTCGTTAGTTTCTTGAAATAACATTTATTACAGTAGTATATAATATATAAATACACTTTAAATGTCTTTATAACTACTGTTATGTAAATACTGTACCATCTATATTCCATTCTTTATTTTCAGTATAACAAGATGGACTGCATCATTCTATACACATATGTTCAGGAAAAATTTAATTAAGAAGAAACCTTATTTCAGTCTCATTACTAAACATTATACAGTACTGTATTTGTATTTACGTTTCCTAGTAGTAGGGCGGTGATGATCTTCACTCAAAACAGCTGGTGTGGCTACAGCTGCAACCACAGACTTTCTTGTTTGTCTCTTGTTGGAGATTTTATGTACCAGCTGGTTTAGTTGCTCATTGTTTTCCTCAGTCTGGTTAATAAGATTTAATAGCTATTAACAGGGTTTCCCAGAATGATTTACAGAATTGGAAGTACAGTAAAATATTCTTACAAAGTGGATATAATTTAGTGATAAGGACAAACAGACACTGAACAATGGGATGAAGGACATACCAAAAGTGAGGTGGGCAGCAGAGAGGGGGAGGGGGGGGGTGATCATCCAGGAAGCAACTGTGTGCACGAATGATAAGAGACCCTGGCACTGAGTGGTTGAAGGGGATGTTAGAGAATTTAAAGTGAATAGATAACAGAAAGGATGTGGTCTGTATTTACTTTTGGTAATCCTGTAAAATATAAAGAAAGTTTGCATGAATGAGGAAAAGTTTTTCTTGATAAGCAGTGTAAAGCAGGCCAATCTATCTATTTTCAGTGTTAAGTATACTGTAAACAATAACAGGCTGGCCCATTGTTGAGCTGGAGTTGGATTCAAAATTACCGCATATTTTGCTCCAAAACAGGTCCCAATGACCTAATTTCTTGAGGTAGACAGGTACAGCAATATTTCCGTTAGCCGGAATTTAAATTATCTTGGAAAATCGTTCCCAAAGCCGGAATTTTCCGGAAAATTCTGGCTTTGGGAGCAATTTTCCCAAAAACCATGAGAAAATTTTACCGATACCCGGAAAATTCCGGGGAGAGGGTTTCCGGGTTTGAGAGATGAAAATCAGGCACATTTTCTGGAAATTCAGAGAAAAATTTTCCCGTTACCCGGATAATTCCGGGGATGAGGGATTTTTTTTCCGGTTTGAGAGAGTCGTCTCGTTACCGGGTAATCTCTCATTCCCGGAAGTGTTCTGCACCAATTGTTCCAGCTAACGGGGATATCACTGTATCATTAGTTGGTCATATTCACCAAATTTGGCAAAAATTTGTCTTCATTACTGAAATATGACTTTAAATGTAAAAGTTTACATTTGTTAACATAAGCTATAATAAGTACAGCACAAGATATTTTGCACTTCAAGCAGACATGTTGAAAACAATCCATAAAATCACTGAAGCTAACTAACCTGCTGATTACTGACAGCTGGTGACACATCAGTGGCTGGACTGTTTTTATCTGTTTCAGTTAAAACCTTAAATGTAGAAGTTCTGCGTCGTTTTGGTGCACTAACAACTTCCTCCTCTGTTGAGTTCTCAGTTTTCTTTCCAATATCAAAAGTTGCTGTGCGACGTCGCTTTGTGACATGTTGGGCATTCCTAACAGCTGAAAAATATACAATGTCTGTAAGTGCACGCAGTTTTTTTTTTAGTATCAATCAGGTGTGGCTTTCTTCCCATGCCCCAGTACTACATCCCCTATTAGGATGGGGATAATATAATTTTTTCTAAGCATGAATTTGTTTGATTTGATCAACAAACAGACAACAAAGTTCTTTAACCATAAGACAAGTACGTACTGTACAGGGTACTTAGATTTTTTCCTGTACTATGTATCAAATAACTGTGATAACTTGTGAATAAGGAAGGTACACTAAGTGGAACACAAAATCTGGTGAACATGTATATAAAATAAAATGAGACTGCTGTGTACCTGACACAGGAGACTTGAATGTTAAATTTGAGGGCTGGCAAAATATGTAAAAAGTAAAATTATACCTTGTATACTGAACACTGTTCATATTTCGGTCCTGATTTACAACCATTAAAAAAGCCACAGACATCGAAAAAAAAAGATGCAATTATCAGGAAACTGAAACTTCACACTACTGTACTGTACTGTACGTCCCTTACCATTCTCATTACTCTTCCTGTAATGACCTCTCTCTGCTGGAGCTGCTTCAACCTGCATAAAGCAAACACAGCTTTAGAATATTCTATATACAATAGCTACAGTACAGGTACAAAATATTTATATGTGATTTGTATTGTAAAAAGAAAATTAATACACTGCAAATCAGAAGTAAAAAATATATTGTAGAAATAAAAGAATAACACAGAATATGAAAGAAAAAAAATAATTAATGGTACTGAGATTTGTTCTCAATCTTTCAAGTCTTTCCTTATTATGCTGTAGGTTGGCTGTTATGAAGAAGATTCTCCCCCACTCCTCCATCCTCAACTCAAAAGTTAAAGCCCAAAAAATGAATTACCTAGCTACTGTGGTCAATTATGTGGCATACACAGGAGGAGAAGGGGACTACTGTCTTCTGCTGATCAGAGGACTTTTGTTCTGACTTGGAAATGTAGGGAGTTAATACACAATATATATTTTATTTATAGACTCTCCTTTCACCTCTGCCTTTGCCTTCTCTCGTCCTCCCCACCATTAGTTGTATCTATAACTATAATACCTTGAGAGGTCTTTTGAGAAAATATTCATGAAATGATGTTAGGAACAAATACTGTACTGAAATTTTTCTTTATTTGGAGTGAAAAATGGTCTTATTCTCACCTCATTTACCCTTTTCTGCTTATGTTAAAGCCAAACCAATAACCAACCACAGAAACCTACCAAACCTTACCTAACTTCCTAGCCAGGGGACTGACCCCGTCATATTAAACAGAAAGTGCTTTGGCGCATTCACGGTAAAATAGTATTAGTAGGAACTTAGCTGGTCACGGCAAAATATCCACTACGTTTTACCTACGCACACGTTAATCAAGAACTTACAGTAACTCAACATAAATTTCTCTCCAAACCTGCCTGACTACTCTTAACATCCCTATTACCTGCGGTGGATCATCTTCCTCTGCAAAAAATGAATCAGGGAACTGAATATCTGACAGAAACTCCAGCGTTGATTCTACTTCTTGTGGATTTGTACTGTCAGTGTTTTCCAGGACGTCACTCGATGCAGCGTCTTCCAGAGCAGCAATTACAGCCTCTGCATCCTCACTTATAGTATCTTCAATATCTTCAGTTTTGACATTGTCTTTCTGATATTTAAGTAGGGCTTCAATGAGTTTCTCTGTCTGTAAAAGAAAAATAATTTAGCAGAATAAATAATTTTCTACACATTAAGTTAATTTAGCGAGTTACATGCCTTATCCTCAAGACATTAATAGCTTGTTTGGACTACCTATCTATAGTTAAATTAACTTTGTGGAAATATGTTTAAAAGTAAGTTCTTTCTTTTTAATATACCGGGGAAGTTAGGTCAGGTCAGGTTAGGTTAGGTTAGGTTAGATTGGTTAGGTTAGGTTAGGTTAGGTTAGGTCTGTCCTTCATACCCACAAATGTTAAATAGCGTTTATTAAAAATATATCCATTTTTTTTAACATATTTCCACAAACTACAAATGTTCACTATAATATAACAATGAAAATCTGGCGTTTTTAAAAATGTTTTCAATCAATTTCTCTCGAGGGTTAATCCTATATAATAACCATAAAATATTTAGCTGTAAGACAAGGAAAATTAACCAACTTACCTTCAACCTTTTGGAAGTTTTTAACCCCAATACCTTCCCTATTTTAAGTAATTCGCCATATTTCTTGTCCCGAAGGTCTTCATGAGTATAATTCTCTGACTTCATGGTCTTAAAACGAGAGTAAAAAGGTTAAAAACCACGATAAAGAATAAGGAAGGCTGTACTAGGCTATCACGTCCCTCCTGTAAACAGATTTAAACTCCCCCACCCAAGTGATGCTATTGGTCGAGAGAGAGAGAGGCGCGTTCTGATTGGCTGACAGATATGGGTAAAAGTTAGGTGTGTAATTTAAATTCTTCTTGACATTATTCAGTAATTATTGATAAAAGTATTAGGGTTGATGATAATAATAATGGTAGAATGATAATCGTGGTGAAATTTAAAGAGTAAATTGTCTTGTGGTAGATGTAGCCCCCAGCACCAGGCAGTGTTGACAAGCTGTGTCCGGAAGCGTCAACGTGGCTTCGTTACATTGTATTCTTCCCCTAATGTATCATAAAATATATTTTAATAATATTTTACTGAGTCTAATGCATAATATGTTAATATATTATATTATAAATCATAAATTATACATCATACAACAATAAAATTTGTGTATAGTGATTATATTGTTTGGAAACTTCTACATAGGTTTACCGTTTAAAGTATACTGGTTACTTTCATGTTTTGGGGCGCCAGAGCAAATATACCCACTATTTATAGTTATAAAATAAGTTAACGTAAATATTAACACAACAGAACTCATAAATACACATATTTGCTTTATATACGTGAGTAGCCGACCCCACCAATTCCCCAGTGTATGCCTCATGGTCTAGGTCAACCAGCGACGCCATACATCACGGAGCGGGGGTCAACTACTAAGCCACGCCTGCCCCCGCTATTTAAGACCTGACCTCGTGGTGACCTGTCTCTTTCTACCTACACCAACCAGCCAGCAACACCTCCTCCTCCTCCGCCTGCCTGGCGGTCCTCTCTCCCGCCGGCGAGCATGGCGACCCACAAGCTGGTCCTCCTCTGAGCACCCTCACCAACCAGCTCTCTCTACATCACGCTTGTAACCATGCTGCCTTCCCAGCACCAAGCTGCATTGTACATCCAATACAACATGTATATAGAGAGCACATTGTGAGTTTCCTTTCTCCATTCCATCCTGAGTGTGAACCAAACATCTCATACCCCACACGTATATAATAAAATGACTAACTAATTCATTTTCTAGTATGTTACTAACCTCAACGATACATGACACATCATCGGTTAAAAATTTAATACATATTGATGATAATAATAAGCCAACTGGTTAGAACTCTGATTCGGTTGGTTCAAAGCTGTTTCGATCTGGATCGACTTGAGCGTTAACCTCGATTGTGAAAACTTGTTCAACTGATTACTTTGTTTCCCGCTAGGACATTTCCCCGAATCCGTACCCTTCCAGTTTAATTCTCAGCCTTTCATCGGGTACGCTGTCGAAAGCCTTGACAAAACCTTGGTATATATTGCCGATATTACCAGTGAAAGAAAATAGCCTTACTTTATGGAGCTAACAGTAACATACTATAGTTATCCCCTAAAACTAAGTTCGTCAACCAAAGAAAACTGTTTTGCCATTTTGGTATATAAGCGACCTTGGCCCAAAATTGTAAGAAATAAATAATAAAATCGTAGCATTTCATTGTGCAAATGTCTATTAAAATTACTGGGGCTGTCTTGTGATAATTATTTATGGGGGAAGAAGAGGAGGGCAAGGAAGAGGGAGGAAGTGTGGTGGTGAGGGTTCAACCAATATACTTCACTTTCAATCAATGTGATGTGTTATGCTTAGTTGGTTAAATGCTATAGATTATATTGTTTGAAGTTCTCTTATATTTCTTATGTTATGTTATGTTTATTTGTGTTAAGCCAATTTCTGTTATGTGAAGCTTAGTCATTATTAATTTGTAATTCCTGTTTATTCTGTTTATTACAGATGTATGGATACTGATGTTAAATTAAGTTGAATAAAGCTTCACAGTGCTTACCTTCGTTTTCATAACACAATGTATTTAAATATTTTGTTTTCTTGTATTATTTGTGCAGTAAATTATGCAATGATTATTTCTGATAATCTTCTGTTGCAGGTGTGAGAGCCAGCCACTGCAGGTAAGACACGCCGATGTACGCCCTTACCTGAACAGTGACGGACCGACCTACACCACATGGGACTTTGTGTGGATAGTCACAGTGTAGTTGCAACATAAAGACGGCCACACAGTGTAGAGGCAACACACAGACGGCCACACAGTGTAGAGGCAACACAAAGACGGCCACACAGTGTAGAGGCAACACACAGACGGCCACACAGTGTAGAGGCAACACACAGACGGCCACACAGTGTAGAGGCAACACACAGACGGCCACACAGTGTAGAGGCAACACACAGACGGCCACACAGTGTAGAGGCAACACACAGACGGCCACACAGTGTAGAGGCAACACACAGACGGCCACACAGTGTAGAGGGCAACACAAGACGGCCACACGGTGTAGAGGCAACACAAAGACGGCCACACAGTGTACTGTAGAGGCAACACAGACGGCCACACAGTGTAGAGGCAACATAAGACACCCACACGTGTAGAGGCAACACAAAACGGCCACACAGTGTAGAGGCAACACAAAGACGGCCACACAGTGTAGAGGCAACACAAAGACAGCCACACAGTGTAGAGGCAACACAAAGACGGCCACACAGTGTAGAGGCAACACACAGACGGCCACACAGTGTAGAGGCAACACACAGACGGCCACACAGTGTAGAGGCTCACAAAGACGGCCACACAGTGTAGAGGCAACACAAAGACACAGTGTAGAGGAAACACACAGACGCCACACAGTGTAGGAGCAACACACAGACAGCACACACAGTGTAGAGAGCAACACAAAGACGGCCACACAGTGCGAGGCAACACACAGACGGCCACACAGTGTAGAGGCAACACACAGACGGCCTGGTGAGGCAACACAAGACGGCCACGTGTAGAGGCAGCACAAGACGGCCACACGGTGTACTGTAGAGGCAACACAGACGGCCACACAGTGTAGAGGCAACATAAAGACGGCCACACAGTGTAGAGGCAACACAAAGACAACCACACAGTGTAGAGGCAACACAAAGACGGCCACACGGTGTAGAGGCAACACAAGACAACCACACAGTGTAGAGGCAACACAAAGACACCACACAGTGTAAGAGGCAACACACAGACGGCCACATAGTGTAGAGGCAACACACAGACGGCCACACAGTGTAGAGGCCACACACAGACGGCCACACACAGACGGCCACACAGTGTAGAGGCAACACACAGACGGCCACACAGTGTAGAGGCAACACACAGACGGCCACACAGTGTAGAGGCAACACAAAGACTTAAGGAAAACACCTTGATTGACTGATTAAGGGTAGGCGGGAGGTGGAGAAGGAAAGGGGGGGGGGGCGATGGAGCGGGGACGGGAGCGGGCCTAGATACCTGGCATGTTGTCGTAAAAGAGTGCCCAGGTTATGTATTTAAATCTGGCCATTGTTTTTCGACGACCCTGTATTTTGAGCTCCGGTAATCTGATATAGTTACGGTGTGAGGTTAAAGATAATCTATTAACTCATCAATATTTTTCAAACATGACCGATGGATGCCTTCGGTACACCCCTTGATAACAACAGTCGGTCAGAGAATAGTCAGTGTGATGAAAATGTTCAGGGAAAGATAAAAATCAAAATTGTTGTCTGAATTACAAGTTACAGTTTGTCGTAATAATATATCAGTGGTAACCTTGCATTCGTGACACACACTTGTACAGTTAGGGAGGAAAGTTCCGTGTCACTTAATACCACTACGGATCTCTTGTCCTTGTCAGATGACCAGGAAAGCTCAAACAGTTGTCATTATGGAGGAATTGCGACTATTTCTGGAACGTCTTGGACACTGTGAGTTTTAAGGTTTATTTTCCCCTTTTCTATGAGTTTTCTTCTGTGGGGAGTTAATCTTATAGAACCTCAGGGCTTTAGTTGGATGTGCTCATGATGTGTGAAAGGCATACACTCGATGACACCAAGCGGATCATGTAGAGTTAATATTTGATGTCATGTGCAATATTATGTGCTGCTATATGTATCGTAATATATAATAAACAATGTATGGTGTTATACTCACAGTGGTATGTTGAGGAGTATGTTGATATATCCTAGAGTGACAATTTACTAGAGTGATGACATAACAGTGACGCAGCAACAGTCCAGAGTTCCGTGAAAAAAAAAAAAAAAAAGTTAAATGTATTGTATAAGAAGAGTTTCACCACAACACAAACATTCACCACTCATATCAAGACAACAACTTGGTGGCGGGGAAAATAAATGAGAATCTTCCTATACGTTGCCATAAAGCGTGTTGGATTCCATACAAGTACAGTGTCTTGAGGATGGACTAATCCTACTTAACTGAGAAACGAATACTACAGGAATATAATTTTTTCTAACATAACCAAGAGAATGACGAGGTGTAATTATATGTTTGTTTACGTTTCAGTGTTACATTATTATCAGACTTTCTTGCCTTGGTTATTTCCCCGGTAGGTGACCACATCAGCAGCTACCCAGACTGGCTCCTTAATTCCTTCCCTCCACCCCTCTCTTAGTACATATATTACTACACGACCTTCAGCTACTGTTATTTCCCGCTTTATTTCCCTCGCTACATAATGTTCGGCCATATTTAACTAACCCATTGAAACCTAAATTGAAGACGACCAACATAAAATTGCACTTACGCTAAAACTCTGCAATACTGATCCTAACTTCATTTCAACTCAACCAATCGTTACGTTATCTCATCCTATGATCAAAAAATAAATAAATATTCGAACGTACGAATCTTTTAGAATCTCAAAACTAAACGTAACTTCCCTTTCATGATCATAATTAAGTAAAGTACAGGTAAATCCTTCAGTTTCCAGTAGTTTATTAAGATTTCTACGCTTCCTCTCTGTTTTTCTCCCAGAAGGAACTACGATCACCTTGGCGGTAAGTCACCCACCCCACCCCACCCCACCCCCCCCCATCACCCACCCCACCCCACCCCTTCACCCACCCCCCCTTTCACCACCACCACCACCAGGCGCTCCTAACCCACATAATGACGGAATCACGGACAATCATCAAGG